TCTTTCAAATTTCCTGCATGGCTTTTCAAGGCTATGCACAAAATATATTGTAATTTTTTGTGGGATGGGGAAAATGTGCTGCAAAAGATAAAGTTTCGGCTAATTGGAGTCAAGTTTGCAAATGCTAGAATGAAGAGGGTCTTAGTACTCTTATTTCTTAATCTTAAAGCTTTCAATATTGCTTTGTTATCCAAGTGGATGTGGTCTTTTCTTAATAGCAACTCTATGGTTGAAATGTTCTATCTTCTATTTACTCATCTGGTCATCCTTCTCTTAATAACGCACCTCCTAGACTTATGGCTTCTAAGTTTTTGAAAGATTTGTTATCTAGAAATCAAGCGATTATAGATAAGCTATATCTAGTTCAATAGAAGTTAGGTGAGGGACCTTATATAAGATTTTGGGAGGATAAATGGATGTGATCAAATTCTCTAGCTAGCCTTATCCTTTTGGCATAAAGCTTAGCATTATCTACAAATGTTAAAGTTGCATCACAAGGATTCTATCACAATAGTTCTTTGTGTTGGAGACCACACTTGAAAAGAGGAATTAGTAGCAAGGAAAGACAAGAGATTCATAACCTTAAACTCTTATGTCCTCTATAAAGCTTCACCCTTTAGTCACCAAAGATGAAGCTTTCTGGCCTATACACTCCTCGAGAATTTCAACAATGAAATCTTTATATGGTATTTATAAAGTTGGTAATGAAAAGAACTTGATATTGATGATCAAATTTATAGATTTATATATACACACATACCAGATAACCCATCAATCAGTAGCCCACACTAAGTGTCGGCTATATATATAGAGTGGCTACACGTACATAGCCTACACTAGGAGGTGGCTATACATACATATAGGGTGGTTACACATACATAGCCCACACTAGGAGGCAGCTATACATACATATAGGATGGCTACACATACATAGCCCACACTAGGAGGCAGCTATACATACATATAGGGTGGCTCCACATACATATAGGGTGGCTCATGATAGGGTGGCTACACATACATAATTCACACTAGGAGGCGGCTATACATACATATAGGGTGGCTACACATACATATAGGGTGGCTCATGATATTATCTAACACCCTCCCCCCCCCCAAACTCACAGTGGATCGAACACCGAGAGTTTGGATAAAAAGAGCCGGAATTTGCAAAAGACACGTGTTTGAGAGTTGATGAAAGAGTCTTAACAGTGGTGACGAAATTGATAATATAAGATGTAATCCAGGAGTACTGATAAAGAGAAACCTAATGGTTGTATGATCGATCGGGTAGGATAGGAATCCAAGAGCGTCAATGGAGGAGAACTCAATGTTGACGAGATGAACAGCAAGGATAGTAATTCGTATACATCAATGGAGAAATTTGTAGTGGCAACGAGATTGAACGGCAAGGGATAGAAATTCTTGTACATCGACGGAGAAGATATTAAGAGTCGATGTCGAGACCGTGAAGAGGAGAAGCTCGTTGTGAGGAAAATCTCAATAGTTGGTGTTGAGGCCATGAAGAAGATATCTCACATAAAAGAAAGAAACATGAGACTTTGCCGAAATTCTGGATGTGACGGCAATGGGTTTTGAAAGGTCGCCGATATGAACAAAGAGCTCGATTGAAGGCCAACATGCGTACTGATGTTCAATAGAACATTGAGGAGAAGCTCGACATGAAGTTGATAAAGAAAAAAAAACAATTCGCCAATATCCCAAATGGTGAATAGGAAGATTAGGCTTGTTGAAATTGGGATGATAGGATACGAATAACCATAGGTCGCATAATATAGGTCATATTCTGTTGAACGGTATGAATCCACTAATCACGAGGAAGTATCAATAGAGGAGTCATCGGGAGCAGTCTTTATTACAGCAAATGCAGTAGCAGCAACCCATTGTTCAGTACCATAAGGCCAACACTGAGGTTTGCGATGAACGTACAAATAAACAAATGGACTCGAGCTGTAAAGTACTAGTGTGAACATCAAGGTGATCACACGGGTCAAATTTTAAAAGCCCCAAGGTAATTAGGTAACAGCCACCAATTTTCCTTAATTAATGAGAATAATTTAGGAAAGGAGTAGGTGAAGGAATGAGAAAGGAGGTGAGGTTGAATAGAAGAATCATAGAGGCTCTCTGAGGCGAGATTGACTCCTTCATGTTCTTAAAGAAGAGGATGATTTAGGTGACCGATCAAAGCCCGGTGTTGAACCTGAGTGATTTTGGGAGTGAGGATCTGTAATTTTCCATGAACTAAGACTAAGGTGGTCACTGGTTTCCATGACAAAAACCAGGTGCAAGGGAGAAGATAACTCTGCCCTACGGTTGAGATTGATGGGGCGAGCTTAGAGTTTTGGGTGAGTTTGTCAGAGACAGAGGCAATTTGGAGTAGCAGCGATGGTTAAGGCTTCATTGGCAAGCTGGAGAGCAATGCTGAGAAGCCCTTGTCTTAGAGCCAGCCTCTGAAGTAAGGTAGTCAGCTGAGTTAGCATTGGGAATCGAGATGCAGCGGAATAACAAGCAGGAGGAAGGAGGCACAGTTAGGGATGAGGGTTATCATTTGTGTGTGATCGAAGGGTGACCAGCACAGCGTGGTAGTGGTGGTGGTGCATAGAGTTGGTGTCTCTGCTAGGCAGCCTCAAGGCTAGGCGTAGCGAGCAAAGAATGTGGCTGACGTTTTACCATTTCGGAGCTGAAGCGAGATTGATCTCGTGAATTATTGCGGTGAGGCGGAGGAGCTTCACAAAGAACTTGATACCATTAGGCGAGGTTGGACTTGGTGTGAGGTTTTCTCCTTATAGGAGAACCATAGGATTGGTTTGAGATCAAGGACTAGACTGAGGCGAGAAGGAGACTGGATCATGATTCCAAAAACGGGATCTCGAACTCTAATGAAATGAGGGAGAGCTCGGAGGAGGTCAAAGGCGTTGAAGGTTATTCAGAGACGTGAACTAAGAGCAAAGCAAACCTAATCCTGATCGCCAGTAGTCAGAGATGACAATGACAGCGGCCAAAGAGGAAACACTAACTAGCAGTGGTGTCGGTAGTGGTGTCGGTAGTGATATCTAGATCTGGGGCCATGGAGGTAGCGACTAGCAGTAGTGACAGTCATGGAGACTGGAGGCAAAGGCGTTGTAAATGAGTGGGGGATGCAATGATATCCTCAAATAACTTTTGTTGAAGATGGAGTAGAAGCGTCTTTGAGCAGGGGTGACTAAAGTCAGCGAGGAAGAAGACTCTGAGAGCATAAGGAGCATCAGGGTCATAGGAGACTTCATTAGTTACAGACGTCGGGGCCCGGAGTGGAGTGATCAAAGGAGACTTGGGGAGATGTGGTTGAATTAGAACACATTGTTGTGAAGGGAGGCTGAGTAGCAACGTCCATGATCTGCTTCAATAAGGAAGCTAAGCTGAGGGTCGAAGGTGGGTAATCAGAGATTGGAGCTTGATGGACGAAGCTGAGGCTGCAATCAATAGTGGCATCGACGACAGAGACTTAAATGGATGTTGGCCAGATAATTTCTAGCTTAGTTGAGATGGTGAATGGCTGAAATTTTGGGTTTGGAGTTTTGGGGTTGACGGTCGAAGATGTTGGAAGAATAGATCTCTCTAGATCAGCAAGACTAGCTCTTATACCATGTAAAGTTGATATTGAGAGAACTTGATATTGATGATCAGATTTAGAGGTTTATATATACACACATACCAGACAACCCATCAATCAGTAGCCCACACTAGGAGACGACTATACATATAGGGGGGCTACACATATATAACCCACACTAGAAGTGGCTATACATACATATAGGGTGGCTACACATACATAGCTCACACTAGGAGGCGGCTATACATACATATAGGGTAGCCACACATACATACATATAGGGTGGGTCATGATAGGATGGCAACATATACATAGCTCACACTAGAAGGCAGCTATACATACATATAGGGTGACTATACATACATATAGGGTGGCTCATGATGTTATTGGTGGGGGCATGACAAGTCCTCTACGTAACTTCATTTGGAAATCCATAATACCTTACAAAGTCAAGCTGTTCTTTTGGATCCTCCCAAAGAGGAGGTTTCAAACCAAGGAAATTTGCTAAACATAGGTTGGATTAATGATTCTTTATGCCTTTTCGCAATCCACTACTGAATCTGACGAGCATCTATTTCTCGATTTTCTTCTCTTTCTTTGCTTTTTTTTTTTTTTTTTTGTCGAAGAGGTCTGGTTGCAGTTCGAGAGCAGAATTAGTTTTACATTGGGTGATCTTTCTTTGCATGATTTGATTGAATTTAATAGCGATTTCCTATCTTCTACGAAACTCCATCAACTATGAAAAATTGTATTCCTCGCTACATGTCGGTGCCTGTGGAGAGCATGCAATAACATTGTGATTTTTAACGAGGTTGCAACTCCATCTATTAAGCTGGTTGCTAATGTAGCATACTTTGCGATATATTGGATAGGGGCCTCGACCAACAAAACAGGGATATTTTTGAATAGGTTAGCTGAAGGGAACGGCTTCAATGATCTGATGCACGTCGAAGATTGTGTGATTGGTCTTTGGTTTTTAAGATAAATCGCGAACCACACTGTATATTCCTGTCTTTGTTCTATGCTGGGCACGTCAACATGTTGAAGCTTTTTTGTTCTTCTCTTGCATTTTGTACTCATTTTGAACATCACCACCACGGCCGGGCAGATGGGTGAATCCAGAGATTATTCCTTTTTGCTGATACGTGCGATTGCTATGAATAGGTCATCTCGCCTTATTTTTTATTACCAAAAAACAAATTAAAATAAAACAAAAGAGTAAAAATAGAAATGAGGGGCTACTGGGGGCTTCCACGTGTAATAACTCACTGCAGAGAGAGGGAGGGTGGGTCACTCTACTATGTGTTTGGCCGGAAATCATACTCCATGGGTCGTACACTCCGCTCCCCCAAGCCGCATCATTCCCAGCGATATATTAACAAAAGGTCAATGCACAGAAACAAACTCATCGCAATTCCTCAATTATAGTTCCTACAGTCCTTCAGAAACAACACAAGCATTCTGCTACAACATAATAATTACAACTGTACAACTTGAAAGAGACCCGCCTCCTTCCAAAAGAGCTCTTTGAACCACCAATATCCCATTTCACTTCTCAATAAGCATGATCCGCGAGCCCGATACCAGCACGAGGATGAGCTTGTACCGCACAAGCACAGTGCACGGAAGTAAGGCTAAGACATCCGCTAATAATAAGTGAATGACGCCCTGAACAAGTGTGAAGCGCTGGAAACGAGTCACACAGAGTTTGAACAGCATTAGGGGTTAATGCAGTGCACTGGCTGATGTTGAGGTTCATAAGCCCCTCTTTCTCGTTGTTGCTACTGCTGTGGCTCCGATGTACTGAATCCCACACGTGTTTTCTCTTTACTCGGCTGTTTTCTGCCAGTGAATATATTGCTCTATCGGTTATGTTCTGGCAGTAATACAAGCCTAAGGATCTCAGGTGAGGGCAGCCGTTTGCCAAAGCAATTACACTCTCATCTGCCATTTGACGAAAAGGAGTTCATATTAGCTAAAGGTTTAATGAGAAGAAATGAAATTAACATGGATGAGATGGTCTAATGAATTTATTTAGTACTTCAATCTTTCAAAAGATGATTTAGTCTCTAACGTAAATATCCCCATCACCTGTTAGTCTCATAAAACAATCCCATAGTGAGATCCTTGAAAGGAGGAGATGGACTCCACTATGAATAGATCCATCACTCAGGGCTTTGAACATTAACCTTGAAAGGAGGAGATAGACTCCACTATGAATAGATCCATCACTCAGGCCTTTGATCGATAAACTTGCTAACTCGGTCATATTTCTCAAGGGATTAACCAGTGAAATAGGAAAAACGGGCATTATCTGGGAGCAAGGCAGAATATACTGAGTTCCAAGCTTCCAGATCATTCAAATTCCCAAAGATAACCATAAGAGATGGGCTCATAACAGGCCTGATCTCAGATTTTGTTTATCAATATCTAACTTTAATCAATGCTTTGAAGCAAAAACAATCTTTTAATAAATTTATGTTGTTTTACTTGCTACTTATAATAGCATGGGTCATAAATAATATGGATTTTATGCTATGTTGCATGGACATGGGCGCAAGACATGGCAAATTTGTAGAAAATAGTGTAGAGGAAACGGCTAAATATATAGATATTTAATTTTTATGTTTCTTTTACTAATTAGATTATAGCTTGGAAAACCACTCTTTTTCGAACAATGACATCTAAGTTGTACTTCTAAATTGGGTATGGACAAAAATGACCCCAACCTCAGTCACGAGAAGTGGATGTGAGGTAAGATATATGTCCAAGAAGTGTATGACAACTGTTTTAAAGTAAAATATGTATCGTATAATTGTATACACACTCTGAATAAATGCATGCATATATTAAAGGAGTGTCCAAGCACAATCCAAAAAGTACCGAAGTCGGGCATGAATATTGAAAAGTTTACGAAGACAGGTATGAATATTGAAAGCGTACGAATATGGGAAGTCCAAGCATATATTAAACAAGTGTCCAAGCACAATCCAAAAATTACTGGGGTCAGGTATAAATATTGGAAGTTCACAGAGACGGGCATGAATATTGGAAGCGTACGAATATGGGAAGTGCTGTCAGGCTTGTCCGGTAAGCTTCATTGCTGCAAATTTGACTTTCCGCGGTTCCGTCAGGGCGTACCAGTCAAAGTAACGATCCATGTTCTTCAGCCAGTCCAAGAAAACTTGTGTCGAGCTTACCATCAAAGGTTGGTGCTTCGACCTTAATGCTCCTCAGGTATTGAGCATCTGGATCAGTCACAGGTTAAGGTGGGGGTCGATGAACGATGTGCCCATGACCATTCCCTTGACCTTGCGACGGCGGAGTTACAACACGCGCTTCTTCAAGCCTAGCGGGTCTCTCGTTGGTTACATTTTGGAAGTCTGTCAGGACCTTATGGGTAGCTCTACACTCCTGGGCTACGGCACCTAGTTGTCCTGCTAGCTCATCGAATCTTTTAAGGAGTACGAGATCTGTACAGCCTGACATGTTAGACTTACTAGATGATTCACTACTCTCCTAATCGATAGTGTAGACCTGTGCGAGTAAGCATGCTAACAACTAAATAAGATTAATGGTAGTTTTTTTTTACGCAATTAAAATAAATAAATAAAAAATTCCTAACTTAAACCCATGCTCTGATATCAAAAATGATGTGAAACAATGTGCATGCAGGTATGAAGAACAGCGACAACAATGCTTCACCAAATCAACGATCAATCTAGCTAGGAACCTCAAGAAGAAAGTAGAACTCTAGATGGTTTTAAACAAAATTGCAATTTACTAAGTTTACGGCCTTGTAAATTATTCTAGGAAAGAAACGTAATATTTTTTTCTTGTAATAAGAGTTGACTTGTAATATTTAATTCAGCAGATATACGAGGCAAATAGAGTCACTCTCTCACAATCAAACAGAATATAGCATAACAGTTGATATTATAATTGATAATAACATGCATACGATGACAGTTCCTAAAGTACCGAATCAAGAGAATGTGATACCTTCGTCGGGCTGAACAGGCTCGACGTGAGGGGCCTCTGGAGGTGGTACGATGACGCCGAATATAAGGGGAGGGAGATCTCCGAGAGCTATGTAGTTGGGGTGAAGTGGTGCGTCTGGTTTTGAAGCGTCGATGCTACGAACTGATTCCCAGACGGCTCTCCACGGTCTCAGTGATCTGAGGAGTCACGCGATCAATGTACTTTGCTGGGGTGTCGAAGGGCTGGTAGTCAAACCACTGAGAGAGTTGTAGATCTACCATACCGGTCTCTGGGTCGTACACAAATTGGGCGTCTTCGGCTGTAGGATCAGCCATGCACTAGTGAGCCGCGGAGTCAGGGTCGAATCGGATTCGAATCGGACTCAAATTGGTCTCCAAACGGCTCTAAAACATGCTTTGAATCAAGTATGAACCATTAACGGACCTGTTACCATTGTAGGTTGGATTTGAGCTGAAAATCAGATCCAGCTGAACCAGGTTTGAGTCTGATCAAAACAGATCAATTCCGAATTGCCTCCTCTATGTTGTCTTCGATCCGAGGAAAAGAGAGGGCGAAGCGACTGTTCGAGGATGAAGAATGGCGGTGGCGGTCCGATCGATCGACGATGAAAGATTGATGACGGTATGTGCGATCGAAGACAAGGCGGAGATCGATGGAAGGGGATCTGACCTCAAAGGAGATGCTAAGTCGAGGCAGGCTTCCAGTCTGCGGCAGTTGCGCCGACGAACCTTTGAGCGAGTGATAATGAGGGTCTGTATTGCTTTGGAAGAGCTCAACGAGCTCTGGCGGTTGTCGACTAATCCTTGTGGACGCACAGAAGATTTGGTCAAGGGATTGGGGAGGGCGTGCGGCATTGGTCTATCGGTGTGGCTGAGGAAGGCGACAGGGCTGTTCAGAGGTGGAGGAGGAGGGAAGGGGAGGCGTCAGGCTAGGGTTTCACACCACTAGGCCGCGAGGTTTCACACGCTCTCAGCAATTCAAGTAAAAAAATTTATTCAAATCTTCATCTTTTTTTTTACAGCAGTGCTTAAAAAAGAACAATACAAATTTGGAGATCCCTAAAACCACTCAGATACTAAAACTGAATCAACTACTAAATTTGAACCATAATTCAAATTTCAAATCTAAACTGCTAAAACTGAATCAACTACTAAATCTAAACCATAATTAAATTTCAAATCTAAACAAAATAAGATGTCTGCTCAATCAACTCTAGCTGCCGAATCTGTCATCAATTAGTTCAAAACCATATAGACATGTTGTCCCCCAGAGGGTGTTTTCTACGTTGGTAGGTACGTCCGAATCTGCCCGTGATGTCCTCATCAATATGTCTAAGTGGCATAAATCCAGACATTGACTTATTCATAAATAAATTATACTATAGCTAAGATCTGAACAAGAATAACTTCTGTTTGTTAGGAAATTCTGATCAAGTTCTAACTAGAGGGTTTCAAGAATTGCTTTTCTTCATATATACTACAGTAACAATAATTCTGTTATATTGCAGTTGTATTGTATCATTCCTCCCACTTGTAACTGCAACATAAGTGATATTTTTCAATTTTTCGACATAAGCACACTCATCTTGCCCGGCATATCCATATAAATTAAAATTCATCCTACTTGCTTCACTGGAATACTATTGACAGGAAAATAGATATTTCTTACATGGTGTCGGCTCAACCAATACATAGCACCAAATCACATAATTTCCATTTTCGAGGTGTGACCACCGAATACATGATTTTCTTACATACTGATGATCAAGGAATATAGCACTTAAAGAGACCTTTGTTGCAAAAAATTGATTGTAAACCATTCAGCAATGGAACATGGAAACAGACTTCTTCATGTAAACAGAAAGCTAACATAAAATAGAAAAGAAAAAAAAGGAAAGCATAATGCACGAAGAAAGAAATGCCAAGAAAGTATGCAAAATCAAAGAAGACCTGACAGAGATAAGACAACCTCATAGCATGACAGATTACATTAAAAAGAAGGAAAACAAAAGGCCTATGGCACTACTGCAAACTTTTTATTCTAGACTATAAACATGAGTTCCTATAACTGATTTAAGTTAATATAGAGACGACCACAAGAGCTATAAATAGACTTGAATGCATCCCAAAAAAATATTAGAACCCTTGAATTATAGTTCTTGCTGTAAAACATATTCGCTATTAGTTTCACCAAGGAATACCTGTTATAAGAATGCAACCACACAAGTCCAAAGCTCTCAAATCAGGACATCCTAGTGCCAAACCGATTACTCCCTTATCAGTCACAGTCTCACACCAACCCAGATTTAATGTCTGCAACTGCCTACAGTTAAGTCCAATTGCCTGCATGACAATATATGGGGATAAATATGCAAGTTTCCAATACGCCACAGAAAAATTAAATCAAAACTTGATAATTCCTGCCTGCAAGGCTCTGTCAGATGCAGCTCGCACACAGCCACATAGGTTCAAGTTTTTTAGGTTCCTGCAGAAACTAGTCAAATAGGCAAGGGCAGCATCACCAAGGGACGAGCAACCGCTGATATTGAGTTTGGTAAGGCGTGGGCACCCATGAGCCAAGGCATACAATGATTGGTCACTAAGCCTGAGGCTCTTGCTTAGGTCCAATTCTCGCAAATCATGACAATAGTTTGCAATTGTTTCTACACCGTTGTCCTCAAGTTGAGGTTTGTTCTGGCGTAAGGAAAGAGTCTGAAGCTTTGCAAATTTTGGAGCCAACGACAGCACAAGATTGTTCATATTATCCTTGCACCTGCAGGGAAGGCAACTCAAAGAACAAATTCATACTACTATAAAAAGAAGACTGGGTGTTAAAACTTTTAATTTCTTTTTTTGCCCTCTCAAATTTTAATAAATTCTAACTATGTCATTATCTCTAATTAATCTTTCATTAAATAAATACAACCTCTTATTAACTATACACCTCCTCACCTTCCGAAATAATTATAATTATCAATAATACTATAACTATTAATTACTTAAAAATATATAATAAAATAAGTATACACAATTATTAGTTGTTACCAATTAAATTATTATAATAATTATTTATGAATTATAATTAAAATAATTAATTTTTTTGACCTCTAACTACGCCATTATCTCTAATTAATCTTTCATTAAATAAGTACAGCCTCTTATTAACTATACACCTCCTCACCTTCCTAAATAATTATAATTATCAATAATATTATAACTATTAATTACTTAAAAATATATAATAAAATAATTTATAAAATAAGTATACACAATTATTAGTTGTAACCAATAAAATAATTAAAATAATAGCACAAATAGAATAATATATTACTAAATACTATTAAGAATTATACTATAATTCAATAAGCAATAAAATAAATAAAATAAATATTTAATCGTATAAACTGTGTAATTATTTAATAATATCACATAAATTATGAATTACACTATTTATTTAGTATTATATCATTAAATAAATAACTTAATATTATTTTTAGAGTAATTTCTCAAAGATTATTACATGATACCGAATAATCTATACTTGGAAATGATTGAAAAATAACCTTTTTACAACAAAATTATTTAATATTAATAATAATACCATTAATGGTTAATGATAATATAATAAATATTTGTAATACTAAATTATTTAAGAGCATAATCAAAAAAATTAAATTAGATAAATGTATTATAGTATATAGATAGTGTAATAATTTTAATAGTAATATTCAAACTAAGAAGTATAATATTAAATAAGGTAAATTACAGTAAGCCCCCATGAACTTTTAGCATTTTGCAATAAATAGACCTTATTAACCCTGAAATCACACTAAATCCCTAATATCTTTTATAGAAACTCCCAATATCTTTTAGATAAATTACACCAAACCCCCAATAACTTTCAAAATGCCTTTTTATGCCATTTTCAGTTCTAATTTATAGGTGTCATCTGCAAAATTTAAAAAGTTATTGGGGGTTTTCTTTGAAACAGAAAAGTCATTAGGGGTTTAGTGTGATTTTGAAAGTTCATAGAGGCTAAAAGTTCATAACAGCTTAGTATAATTTACCCTATTAAACAATAATGGGAAGTAACTATTGTAATATGTTGCAGATGTTAAGTGTAACTAATTAGGGAACATCAGGAAAAAAGCTAGCAAATTAATGCAACTTAGTCAATTTACAGTTAAGTTAACAACATTCAAGTTGGAGGGGCATATTTAAGAGAACGTATATAATTGAAAGTTTTATTTAAGAACAATTTTAGATTTGGAGGACCTATTCAAAAAAAGTTAGCACGGAGCGATCATTATAAGAAAAACATTCAATTACAATTAACTACACAATAATAATTAATTCATACATTTCTTTTTAAGCAATCTTATTATACAATTTTATTTATTAATAGATAGTTTTACTATTCAATAAAAGTTTAAAACTTAGAACATGTACTTTCACGTGCAAAGCACGTGCATTATACTCGTTATAAATAAAAGGAGATCCGTATATTAGTAACTACAAAATTCATGAACTAGGATCATAACAAAATGCTACCGTAAAAACGATCCAATTGTGAATATCGTTTGATTGTTTGATTGTCTCACTGGAAGAAGATTAATGTCATAACTATGATGGAAGTAAACTATTTAGTAGAAGCATATCAAAGCATACCAAAATTAGCAACATTTGAGTCATGCCTTTATCAGAATAATGTTTAGGGTTTCATCTACTGATATTTGATTCTACAAGATCAACCATTTGGTTCAGTTTCCACCTACTGAGGACCAGTTGTATGTTTAAAAACGTGTTATGTCTTTCAAGTTTTTTCTTCGAATGCCATTACAAGTAACCATTTCCAAGAAAGATGGAATAAAGGAAAAGGAGAAAGAGGACATCGTTGCTTGACAAAAAGTACACAAACAATAGAAGAACAAAGTTCACAAGAGAACTGATATTAAAAACTAAAGCTTTACATAGCATATCTCATGTTTATTTTAACTGCATATTTAAATTTAAAGAAACTAAACTGTTAGCCTAAACCTGTCTACGGCTCCTACAGGTGCGCAGTCCATACCAAAAAAAAAGAAATTAACTTTTGTCAACAACAACTAGAATAAGCACTAAACAAATTATAAGAGAGGATCCTCCTCAAGTTTATGCCATCAATAATGTTCAGACTGTATGAACAAAGAAATTAAAGAGAGATGGTATACACCTAAAGATAGAAGACCTATATGATTTACTTTTCTATCCAAAAGAGACTTATTGCTCGCTCATGGGATTTCTATTGATTTTTACTTTTTATTTTTCTATTTTTTTTACTTTTTACTTTTTTTTATTAGAAAAATTCATGTGCTTCCATATGAGTTACTTACATGACCAAGGTGCACTTTTGAAGAAAATATAAGCATGTACTAAGAGAAATAGACAGTAAGAAAGCTCATGATGGGACAAGATAGCAAGAGCCAGACACATACATAATGTAAGCTATAAAACAGCCATAGACTTATTGTCCAAATATACGATTACATAATTTAGGGGTGTATATATGTATGTTGTATGCACATACACATAATGTAAACTCCGCAATAGCCATAGGCTTCCAAATATATGATTATGTTATTAGGGCCGTATATAGGCGTGTTGTATACACATACACATATATATTAGATGACACTAGACCATTACTTTCTTTTTTTTCCCTACTATTCCCTCGGATGATTAAGTAGCTCCAATCTCTATGAAGAATAAAGAGTTAAGTGATGAGTTGAATCCACTTATGCAGATTATATTTAAAAAAATCTCTAATCAACAGTGTGCATGCACTTGTTTGGGATAATAATGGTTTTAAGGCAACCACAGGAGGAGACTCCCTCCCTCTCTTTGCACACACACAAGCATCCATGTACACATGTGTATACGTACATGCATACACACACAATACAAACATATCTAAGACCGTTTATGCCCCCTTTTACTTTAAAGAAAAGAAAATAAACCTCAACATTATGAACTACAAAATAGTTTAAAGAATATATAACAAACCTAACAGATTATGCAGAGTCGGATATTTTAAAGAATACCATAACTTCCCTGAAGATCAGTACTGCCATCCTTTACTGTTACAAGAATTAACAAAGGATTCTTTCTAATACTCCTTTGAGGTGAACAAGGAACCCACAGAAAAAATAAAAAAAAAATCTTCCCTTCACAGGTGGATGTATTTCCCCTTGTCTGAAAACTAAGAAGATCCGCTTTCCTCATTTTTCACCTCTTATTGAACACAACATGCTCTCAAAGTAATTATAGATGGGAAGATGGCCTTAAAATGACAGAATCAATTGTGTAAAGTACTGAAAAGGGAAAACCTCAGAAAAGCCCCTAAACGTTGGAGGACTTTGCACAAAGCACCCCTAAACATTGTAAATCCTAGGAACATCCCCGAACTTGTCTCACTTTGATGTCAGTCATGGCAGAGCTAAGTTAAACCCATAACGTGTTTCCCACATGACAAAAATGTGGACATTTTTACTCTTGCCCATCCAATAAAACTTCTTCTCTGCCCTTATTTTTTTTCACCCCCTCTTTTCCTCTGGCAATTTAGAAAAGGGTTTCCCCTTTATCTAGGTTTACGACGATCACTATCCCATAGTTCACTCTTTTGTGAAACCCACAAAGTTCTCTCTAAAACTTAGGAACATTATCTGAAATTTACCCTACTGAAGATCTCCATTAGGCAAACAAAAAAGACAAAGAGAAAGATGAAGGTATACCATGACAGACAAAGGCGACCTAACCCGGCACAAATAGCATCTCTCCATCCAGTGCAGACCCCCGACACGACGATGACCGTTCGATCATCGCCGAGGGAAACGATCCTCAGTAGGAGCTCCATTGGAAGATCCTTCCATCCATTCAAGGCAACTCCTTCCATCTTTTCCGCACCATCAGCAACCATCAGGTTCCTAAACCAAAAATCCAAATTCCCAGTTACAGGCCTCCCTCCAACCATCTCAATTGAGTTCCTACAATAACAAGAAAGTAAACCCAAATTCAATTACAAGTTTGGACCCCCAATTTATAATTGACAGGTTATATATATAGATTGAGCCGAGAAACAAAACTCAACGAAAATGTCTTAATGATCACAACATCAAAAGCGTGATCAGGAAAAAGCTAAGTCAAATTTCTCAACCTGTTGATCTTTGGAAAGCAAAGAATCAGAGCCTCCACAAAGAACCGTTGGGTTGCCTCTCGAAGTAAATTAGAAGAAGGAGAAGAAAAGAAAACTCTAGAAATTTGTTTTTTTTAACACATAAAATCAAACAAAGAAATCGTCTTTTTTCTAAAATAAGCGAAGTAGAGGCAAATCAAAGGCGATAGGAACAAGAAACCCAGAAAAAAAAAGAGTTAGCCCACAAATAAATTCACAAATGTAAATTACTCAAAACCCCTCTATCAGAAGATCAAATAAATTAACCCAAAACAACTCAAATAACACGGGACATGCATATGCACACAGAAAACGGCCCAAAGGAACTCAACTTTTTTCAAATATAGAAATTAACTAATATCTCACAAAAAAACACTCCCCTGATTTCCCTAAAAAAACCTTAGCCAAAAAATCAAGAAAATAAGCAAGACAGCAGAGCAAGCAACGAATTTGAAAGCAGACTAACCGATCAAGCAATGAAATCCCAATTTCCAGGGTTTTCAAAAGGGAAAAATCAGGGAGAGTGAGAAAAGGAGGAAGCCCTGGGGTTTCTGGATCACGCTGGAGCTCTCTTCTCCATTTCCGAGGGAGTTTATATAAGCTGAGGAGGACGCCTACGGTTCTTGAGGCAAGGACACTATGTCCAACAAATTGACACGTGTCCGTCTCCAAGGGGCGCTGCTGGAGCGGTGGGGCCCACAAAGGGACACGAAAGCGAGCTTCGGTGGAGGGAAAGAAGGAACGGATCGGCGACGTGGAAATCCGAGGTTGCGAAAGAAAACAAAAATTTGGAGTTACCGTGTGCTCGAGGATAGGTTAACCGTTAACGTGAGGGTGACTGATGGCCACAGTGGTTTTCAGGTCCGTTTACTCTGTCAATATGGACGGTGTTGGTCATGGATACTTAGATTCATCCTCATCTTCTCGAAACTTCTTACGAGAATTGTGAAAGACTTTTTCATTTTGTAAATTTGACGAAGATATCGTGACCTTATTAAAGGGTTGTACGTATATATTACAAATAGATTAATGAGTGTCATTGTCATAGCAGGGAATTTTCCTCCTAGATATTGAACAGTTATAAGTTTTACTTTCATGATAGACTATCCGTGAGTAGAGTATTTACTTTGAGACTTTGGCACACCCGTTATGGACGGTAGTTATATTTCGTTTTGTTTTAGTTGGCATCCTTTTATTTTAGAGCAGGCTACTCGGATGTACTTAGAGATAAGATATTTATTCTTTATGTTGGAGATTGGAGAATGTTTTGTTAGGTCTCATGTTATGAGCCTATATCTTCTAATCTTGTTTTGATGATTACAAATAATTCTTAATATTGTTTGTCTAGTGTTTATGTTTCTTATTAGGTATTCTAGACAAACAATATGTTGGAGGATGGATGGAATTGCGCATTCACGATCATATTCAATGGAGGTTGGCGGAGTAGTGGTTGAAGCCTTGCAATTCATGTTAAAGATCCAAGTCAAGTTTCATCCGCAAGTGTACCAAGATAGAGCTTCGTTGAAGATCATCAAGCTTGGGTAATTTAGTTTAGGTTTTATATTATGTGTGTTAGTACTTTAAGCTCAATTATATACACACATACACTTTTTGTTTTTTGTATATATATATAGTTATATATATACATATATGTTTTGGTTTAGCTATATAGATATGAAATAATATATATCTTAATATATACTTTTATATGTTTCATATTCTATTGCTTTTGGAAAAATATTGTGTTTTTGGTTTATATGGTTTATAGACTTAACAACTATAGTTTATACTTTTTATCAAGTCTATAAATTCATTTTACAAAGTTTCAAAACATGGTTTATGTCAAATGTCAAAAAACATGTATGTTTACTTTTCATGTTTTTGGACATATTTGAAAAATAATGAGTTTTCACATTTGGGAAGTGCAATTCCAAAAATTCTTTTTGTAACATGTTCATTTACATGTTTACAATGATTTCCCAAAGTTTTATAATTTTTGGAATTTATTTATTATTTTTAAAGGCACTTTTAAAATCAGATTTTCAACATGTACAATGTCTGTGCACGTTTATAAGTCGACTTATCAGAGTTGACAAGTCGACTTATGAAATGCTCTGGAATGTGCAAAAACTCTCTGCCAAGTCGACTTATTCGAACTGTTAAGTCGACTTAGACCAAGTCGGCTTATGTCATTTTCCAAGTCGACTTATGTGCTGATTTTTATGTGTTATTTTTATCTGGAAAGTCGACTCATGTGAATTTTCAAGTCGACTTATACTAAGTCGAATGCAAGTCGACTTATACTAAGTCTAATGCAAGTCGACTTATAAATATGACCGTTGAATAGTAACGGCTATTTTCCAGATCTGTTTTTGTGTGGGTTTTTTGTCATTTCCTTGGGGTTTTGGCTGATGTCTTGGGTTGTTATAAATACCCCATTGCATCTACCTCTCCCACCTAACAAGAGAAAAGTTTTTAAGAGGTTTACAAGTTTTGTTTAAGGGTTTAGTGTTTGTTTATTTGAGTTTGTGAATTCAATTTCACAAGAGCAAGTGGAGATCATCCTTGGTGTTTGAGCATTCATTCTTCTCCCTCTCTCTTGTCATCTATAGAGAAGTTTCCTTAAACTCAATTCTAGCATTTTATAAGTCTGTTCTTAATTTCATAAGCTAGATTTCATATTGAGTTTATATTGTTTTATCTCTTTGATCACACACAACCTATTGAGCTTATTGTATTTACATTCATAGTATAATTTTGGGTTGTGGGGTTTGTGACTTAGAGTTGTGCTTAATTGAGTTCTCGCCTTGTATTAGAGAACAAAATCATTTGTCATATTGTGCCTAATTGTGAGGATTCACTTGAAATTATGGGGATTCACTTTGTATTACACTAGTACACCAAGAGGAGTGTGTGGTGAGAGACGGGGTTATCCCAAGAGGAGTGGGGTAGGTGATAATACCTAGAGAGAGGTTATAATTCCTAACACTTGAGGGAGACACGGACTAGAGACCAACACTTGAGGTGGTAGTTAGTGTAGTTACATTGTGAGTGATTGTAAAGTTTTCGGTGAACTAGAAAACCGAATTTTGAGGTGTAAACGTTGTTCGGGTGAGCGTAGAAAATCCGGTTGTGATAGTGGAGATCTCCTCGAGGTGAGGAGCGGAGACGTAGGTCGTGGGGACCGAACTCCGTAATCATATTGTTTGTTTGTGATTGCATTGGCGCACTTACTTTTATGTTCATATCTTATATCGCCTTTGTATATTGCTTATTGATTATATTGCCCACTATCTAGTTTAGATTGTTTACCCTTGAGCTTATATATCCTTGCATATACATTGCCTATATCTCTTTGTTAGGATATATCTTGTTGTTCATATTGCTTATCCTAGCTCATATACATTGTTATATTTCATACTTGCTAGGATAACTTATTAATTAATTTTAATTGGCATTAAATCGGATTAGATTAGCATAAGACCCTAATCACCCCCCCTCTAGGGTCTAACAATGTGGACTTTTGTTCTTTTTACGATCAAGAACTAAACAGCAACGCGTGTTAGGCGCTGACTTATCCCTACTTAGGCTTCAGGATAAAAGTTTTCAGACTTATATTCTGGTGTCTTCTTTAATCGGTGAAAGACTAAACCGGCAACGCATGTTAGGCGTAGGCTTATCTCTATTTAGGAGTCGAGATAAAGTTCTTCCAACGTAGTTTGGAGGATTATTCTTCAAGTGAGTGTGGAGCAGCTTCATGCACACGAGCACTAGGCGATAGCCCTAGTGAGGTTTGCGAGTTCGAACCCGATAATGATTTATCTAGTGATGAACTTGCTTGTGCTTCCGAAAAATTATTGCATGCCTATAAGAAATTGCAAAATGATTTTATTGATTTAAAAAGCAAGCATGAAGATTTGAAATCCGATCATGAGTCTTTAACTTCTAAGTTTGATACTATTTCTAATGAAAATATGATCCTTAAAGAAAACAATGAAAAATTAAAATTGGATCATGATTCTTTGCTTTCAAACTTTGCCAAGTTAACTCATGAAAAAGATAATGCCATGTTAGAAGTAAAGAACATACAAAATGATACTGCTTCTTTTATAAATAACTATTTATGTTCTACTTCTAAAAATGCATATGTGCCTAAAAATAAAGATTTGAATCTTATGAAAAATAGTATTTCATCTTTAGATTCAACTTTGAAAATATGCATTAATAATCATAAGGAACTTATGGACAAGTGTGCTAAATCTAGTGCTACAAAATCACCCACATACTATGCACACTTGTATAGCAAAGTTTACAATCATATTAATCCTTCTTGTGCATCTCATCAAGCTTCATCATCACATTTTTCACATACACATGCACATACTCATCATGTTCATCATAAGCATGCTCATGTGTTTAAATGTGATTTTTGTGATCGATTTGGTCATTTGGCCAAATTTTGTTTTGATGTAAAGAGAGTTTCACATTTGCAAAATAATTTTAAAAGATCATCCATGTTTGCAAATGTTTCTAATGTTTTCCGTGCACAACCATTTGGTCAACGCAAATTATTTTAACCTTTTCATTGCACAAATTGCAATCGTAAAGGTCACCTATATAATTTTTGTTTTGACCACTTTCGTGCACCACATGTGCCCAAACGGGTTCATAACCCTAGGGCTTTGAGCTTGAATGATAGGGGTCATGTCCCTAAATCTTTTGGTACCAAGAATACTTGGGTACCAAAACAAATTTTTTTCTTGGTTTTGAAAATTATGTTTTAAAATCTTTTTGTTATGAAAACATTTTTTTATAAAATCTTTTGTTTTCATAATTATTAGTCTTGATTTTGATGAGAGGTTTGTGTTTATATAACCCTCCGGGTTTATTGGGTGTTTATTCCCAAATCATGTTTACCAGATGCTAGAATGATTATATGGGTTGGAACAAGCTCAAGAGCTTGATATAATTGTCGCCTCTCTTAAAAAGTGTGTTTTTGATTTGTTGCTTTTGAATTCATTATAATTCACTTATATGATGATATTTATGTGTTTGTGCTAATGGATCATCTATTCGTGCTTTATAATGTATTCTATGAGTGGTTTGATCAAGTCTTACAAAGAAATTTTTTTTTGTTGATCAAACATCATTTTTGGTTTAAATGGTTGATTTACGATTTCATTTGGTTGATTTGTTTTCATTCGAAAACTCTTTTTGCATGATTCTCATGTTTTCTCTCTTTTGATTTCATAAATCTATTTTTTAGGCTTGTATTTTGAGACACCTATTTATCGTGACATATCATTATGTGTTCTCATTATCTTGTTTGTATGTGAGTAATATCTAGCATATCTTTTATTTATGCTTGCTCACATTTGTTTGCCGTGTTCATAATTGCATATTTTCCATATGGCAATTTGATAGGGGGAGCAATCCCTATACTATGTGTTATACTCACCTATGCTTTATGATAGGGGGAGCTTTTGCTCTCTTACTGTTTTGTTTCCCCATTTTTGATGTTGCCAAAGGGGGAGAAACAAGTGGTTTGTGAGTATATTTTAAGAGTATTATGCTTTATTGTATAACTTATT